CATTATTTCCTCAAAATTCCAACTTAAGTGACACTCCAGGAAGATGAACCTCACTTACTCCTTGGTTTTAATGCCTCTAGCAAATTAGGGGTGTGTGTCACTCAAGAATGAAGCCTGCCTCTAGGGCTGCTGCTTTAGCTTTGCTACCCTAAATTATTCCACCTCAGCAAGTCAACATAAACCCCTCACTTAGGTAGACATGCTCAACATCCAATTCAAGAGGCCAATGCATTCAGCTATCTCTGGATGTGCTTTGTCTACTGTTACACAGATGTTGTCTACTAAGTTACTCCTTGACTCAAAGTTCAATGGAATAAATTCTTAGAGACTGAAATTAAGAAAACAGTTGATTTTATTAGATAATGAGAGGTATACACTACAATGTTTCCACCCACTCATCAGTTCTAGACTTCCTGAAGTCAAAGGTGGAAAGGAGAAACAGAAAAAATTAGTTTATGAAATGTTTGTAAGATAGAATACCACAACAGAGAAACCAAATGTCTCCATTTGCTTGTGAGCTGTCTGTTCTAAGTAGAACATTATTTTTAGATAAAGGACATTTTTTTTGTATTTTTTTTTTCCTGCAATGAACATGAGGATGCAGATATATTTTTGAGTTAGTATTTTTATTTCCTTCAGATAAATACCCAGAAGTGGAATTGTTGGATCATTTGGTAATTTTATTTTTCATTTTTTGAGGCAACTTCCATACTGTTTTCCATATGGGCCACAACAATTTACATTCCCACCAACAGTGTGTTTGGGTTCCCTTTTCTTCATATCCTCACCAAACACTTGTTATTTCCAGTCTTTTTGATAATAGCCATTCTAACAGGTATGATGGAATATTTCACTGGGGTTTTGATTTACATTTCCCTGATGATTAATGATGTTGAGCACATTGTCATGTACCTGTTGGCCATCTGTATGTCATCTTTGAAAAAATATTCAGATACTCCGTTTTTAAATCATATATATATCTTTAATATTTAGCTGTAAAAGTTGAAGGACATATATTTTTATAAAATATGTTTTAAAAGTACTTGGCCTTTTATATAATATTTTAGAAGTGTTCTCCGGCTTTACAGTCATTTAAAATGGGAGGATAGGTCAAATACCAGCTACTCATTGTGGCTGAAACCATAAATTTGTTTATATGATCTTGGACCAACACAAGTAAAAACTTGAGTTATTTTTAAATTGCCATTTATTGCTAGACTTTTGACAAAGTAAAACTTAAGGGGTAAGTTTATAAATATTTCATAGATTCTTCTGAGGACTTATCAGTTTAATTAAAATCTTATTAGAGAACAAGCAAATGACTTCAATCACTACAGTGAATAATTGTTATAAAATAAAGACTAATAGGGATGCATGGATGGCTCAGTTGCTTAAGCATCCAACTGTTGATTTCAGCTCAGGTCATGATTTCACAGGCATGGGATTGAGCTCCATGCTCAGCATGGGGTCTGCTTAGGATTCTCTCTCTCCCTTTCTCTCTGCCCCTCTCCAACTTGCACTCATTCTCACTATCTCTCTCTCTCAAAAGTAAATAAACATTAAAAAAAAAAAAGACTAATAGAGCAAAATAAGCCTAAGTGATCATTATTCCCAAAGGCTTCCATATAATTGAGTTTTTAAAAATTCAGAGTCTATTGTCCTACATAAACGATGTTGAGCTTGGCAAGTTTATTTTACCAAAAGTTAATTTAGATTTAATAGGCCACTGTTAGGATATATTATAATAATTTCTTTGAGAAACTAATGTCCAATGTGCCAACCAGAAGTTAAAAACTTCATAAAACACCGGGGCTTCCATAGGGGCACCGGGGTGGCTCAGCTGGTTAAGTGCCTGACTCTTGATTTCGACTCAGGTCATGATCTCCAGGTTCATGAGTTCAAGCCCCACATCAGCTTCTGTGCTGACAGCACAGAGCCTGCTTGAGATTCTCTCTCCTTCTCTCTCTGCCTCTCCCCCATTTGCACTCTCCCTCTCTCTCTCTCTCAAAATAAATAAATAAACTTAAAATTTTTCTATTCACTACCCTCCAATTAGATTCTATTTGTGGGACAGAATCCTCCCACTGCCTAATTCATATACTTTCTTATCCACCCAATAACAGAGAAATTATCCCCTTTACCCTGGTGATTTATAGAGAAATCCTCCCTTGTATATCTTGCTTACTTCCTAAAACAATCTTAGGCATCTTGAAATAAAGTCAAAAATGCAAGATAATCATTTAGATATGAATCAAACAATAATTACTTTGAAGAAACATCACCAACAGAATATATTTGTAAAAAACACAAGCATCTTTTTAGCAAATGACCCTGGCTTGCACTGTTGAAGCATTTAGATGAGGAAATTGCTCAGAAATATGGTAATAGGTAGCACTTCCATTATACTGATATTGACTCGAACTTAGATGTTTCAAGAGTCATAAGCTTCAGCCCCTATCTATTCCTTAATTTTAAATCCTTCCCAGTTGGGTGTGTGCTTGTGATCTGAAAGAATCCATTAACTTTCCTGTCCCTTTCAGGAAGCTTTTTGTGTGTGTCTATATCTAGGCAAATAGCACATCTTTATGGGTGGGTAGAAGGTCATATGGAGTGGGGCAGAAGATGATAGTTATTACGATATTTTTCCCTTGTGGTGTCCCAGCCTTGGAGTACCTAAACGGGTTGGAAATACTATGTGGACACATGTTACATTAGCATGTCCAGTGCAGAAGCAATATCTATAGCCAGAGTTCTATGATCTCATTGATAACCAAGATAGAAAACCAATTTTCTGTCTCAATATGAATCCCAAATTGCCATTTTGAGGGTCAGATCAAAACAGCTTATAGGCTATATCTAAAATATATTCAAAACAATAGTTTTTTTAATCTTGTTTTTACAGGGTTTTTGTTTGTTTGTTTGTTTGTTTTTACATTTTCCCTGAAGCATCTATCTATCTATAAGGCAGCTCCAGGTAGGACCCTGTAAGTAGAATGAGTGTTGAGTTGTTAGAAGAGGGGAAATTTCTGAGACATTCTCCAAAGTGGAAGTGAGTTCTCTCTGTGTGTTGGCCAGCAAGAGTTCTGGTTCTCAATGTTTGCTACAGAGAAAACAATCATAATAGGACACTTGGGTTGAATATTTTGGATAGTAAATACTAAGCAAGTATGTGAACCACAAATCAGTGTGTGACCTTGGGCCACTCACTCAAAGAAAAAGGCTTGGTTTCTTCACCTCAAATGAGGTCTCTGAGGTCCCTTCCACTGTAACTTTTCACATTCAAAACTTGAATCTATGTACTCAATATACATATTCTGAGGTGAATTCATTTTTCAGATATTATGTGAAAGACTAAGAATAATGGCTTGTTTTTTAGCATAAATATGTAAAGTTATCTCATTTCATACTTGGCCAGATCAGTCCCATCTCTATACCCAAAACACATGTGTGCATGCATGTACACACACTCACTCAAATATGCATGTACACAATAAGATGTAACATCTGTATCAGTAATAATCATGACTAGATTATAACACACTAATATTAAGGTGTCCCAATGTATAAGCAGTTTAAAAACGTGACTAAGAAGAAAATCAGAACACAATAGCACAATGAGCATTCTTCAGATTAGGTACCTACACTTCTAAGGGAAAGCTAAAATTATTGGGGGTTTTTAGCCAAATTGTGGAAAAAGCCTAAATGTCCATCAACTGATGAATGGATAAAGAAATTGTGGTTTATATACACAATGGAGTACTACGTGGCAATGAGAAAAAATGAAATATGGCCTTTTGTAGCAACATGGATGGAACTGGAGAGTGTGATGCTAAGTGAAATAAGCCATACAGAGAAAGACAGATACTATATGTTTTCACTCTTATGTGGATCCTGAGAAACTTACCAGAAGACCATGGGAGAGGGGAAGGAAAAAAGAAAGAAAGAAAGGTTAGAGAGGGAGGGAACCAAAACATAAGAGACTCTTAAAAACTGAGAACAAACTGAGGGTTGATGGGGGGTGGGAGGGAGAGGAGGGGAGGTGATGGGCATTGAAGAGGGCATCTTTTGGGATGAGCACTGGGTGTTGTATGGAAACCAATTTGACAATAAATTTCATAAATTAAAAAAAATTTTTAAATTAAAAAATAAAATAAAATTATTAGGGTTTTTTGATGATTCACAAAGAAATAACCAATTAAAAATAAAAGTTGGCTGGGGATGTGTCTATTAAAATCTGATGAGATATATACTTAGGATTTATGTACTTTCCAATTATCTATTTCAATATAAAGTTTAAACATTTTTTAAATGCTGGAATTCGTGCTGCATCTCAATTGCATCGATCAATAATAAGATTTCTGTTCATAGCCCACTGAAATATCAACTACATCACAAAATCGTATTATATAAAGAACCCATGACATTCATATTTGGGTAGTTGTGAGAAGGCTATAGATAATGCAATAGAGCAATGAAATCACTCACTTGCTACTGGTAATTAGGTTTCATATGCAAAATTATGCTGAGAAGCTTAGGGTGTCTCTTTGGAAACATGAACATTAAAAAGTTGCAAAGACTTCCACAAAAAAATCCTCATCATAGATTCTATTGCAGTTACTGCCATACTTTATCGTAATGAAAATGATTGTATTTCGGTGCTAACTCAAGCAAGAAAAAATGTAAAGTTTAAAACACTTTGGGCTGGGCCCCTGGCAAATTACAGAGCGTTTCTGTTAGGAGTTTCTCTTTTAAAGGAGGCTTGGAAAAAGGGAAGGGACCCATAAGTATGTCTCAAGCACTGCTTCTGGACTCTGGAGAGCATTCCACCAGAAGTAATGACTCCTATTATTATCTGTAGAGAATATGGACAGTGGAAAATCATGCCCGCATACTTTTGAGCCAAGTGGAGGGGCGGTAGAATACATAAGTTGGAAGTTACTGTAAACACACACTACTTAAAATTGCAGATGTAGGATACATTCATTGTGTTCCCAACATACCCATTTCTTAGGTTCCTTTGGCCCGTGAGGTCCAGATCAGTTTGTGGACTTGAGGTCATCTCTGCAGGGGCGCTGTTGTCCCAGCCAGTGAAGGAAATCTTCATCCTCTCTGTGACTAAGTATAGAGAAACAGCTGCTTTAGATAGTTCTGTGAATGGCAAGAGACTGCCTGAGGTTAATCAGGCAAAAAAAAAAAAAAAAAAAAAAAAAAAAAAAAAAACATGACTGACCATGCAACAGTGGTTCATCACAACTTAAACTTGTTATGGGAAACAAGAGGTGAAACCAATGGGCTTGATGTCCTGAAAGTGAGTTAATACCATACAGACTTGAAGTCTAAAGTGTCTCCTCATGGCTAGTGAAAGGTCCAGGGAGATGTCCTTTGGTGGCGCTTTCATTTTCTGTATGTGCATGCAGGAAGTATAATATGCATGCTAGGGCTTAGAATGAGTTTGCAAATGATATCACAATATAACAACTTTATTACGGTTTCCCTGAACAGTGAGGAGGGGCAGGTATCTATTATTATGTAGAACACACAGATAAGAAAACTGAGGGTAAGTGAAATTAAGTGACTCACCAAATATCACAAGCCACAAAAAAAGAAACATAGAAAGAAAGAAGAAAAGAAACTAATTGAAAAGATAATGAATTTTCATGGTGCAGGGTTTCACATAGGTAGCAAGATGGTCTTTCAAGTTAGAAATTAGAGGACCTTCAATGCAGATCTAAAGAACTGAAAGTTTATTTTGAAAGTCATGGGAAGGCACCTTGAGAAGGAAAGCGACTTGGCAGTGTTTAATGGGGATTAGTTCTATAGAAAAGCACAAGATTGGCAGGGAGAAACTACAATGTATATAAACAACAATAACAACAAACTGGCAAGTAAAACTGTTTGAGCAGTTACTATGTTTCAAAACCTCCACTATGGACCTTACTTGTAGAGCCTCCATGTAAGCTAAAAGAGAAGTGATATTATTAGCTCCAGCATATAAATAAAAATATCATTGGAAGAGAAAGGCTTTGCAAAATCACCTGTAACTAAGTAACAAAACCTGGGTTCAAAGCCACATCTCTGGCTTTCTAGTGGTCACGCTCTAATCTCCATGGTGAATTCCAGGGAAGCGGAAGGGAAGCTGGCACTGAGTAGCAACCACTTTAAGTCAAGGCACTATCATCATCTGCCTTGACTACTACAGGAACTTTCTGCTACTGTTTCTGTTTTTACCTGCTATATCAGCTAGGTATGGCCACATAACAAACAATCCCAACTTTGGCTGCTTAAAATGACAAATACTATCTAAGTTTCCAAGAATCAGGAGTCCAGGAGCCATCAAACTGGCTTGTTCTGACTTTAAGTTGTCAGAATATTGGCAGGAGCTATAATTATCTGAAAGCTTGCATGGGGCTGGAGGACATGCTCCCAATTTGGCCCCCTCACACAACTCATGGCACAAAGTGCTCAGTTTCTTACCAGAAGGTCTTAGTTCCCCACAATATCGCAGCTGGCTTCCTCCAGAGCAAGTGATTAAAGAGGGGTGGTAAAGGTCACATTGTCTTTTTTGACCTAGCCTTAGAAGTTTTATACCATCAAACCTATCATGTCCTATTTAAAAGGAGTGTCGGGGCGCCTGGGTGGCTTAGTCGCTTAAGTTTCCAACTTCAGCTCAGGTCATGATCTCATGGTTCGTGAGTTCGAGCCCCACGTTGGGCTCTGTGGTGACAGCTCAGAGCCTGGAGCCTCCTTCAGATTCTGTGTCTCCCTCTCTCTCTGCTCCTCCCCTGCTCATGCTCTTTTTCTCTCTCAAAAATAAATAAACATTTTTAAAAAATTAAAAAATAATAATCTTTTTTAAAAAAAGTAGTGTCACTAAGCCCTTCCCACATTCAAGGAAAGGAAAATTAAACTCCATTTCCTGAAGCAAGGAATATGAAAGAGTTTGTAAACATACTTTAAAACTGCCACACTCTCCTGTTTAATAGATTCTATATATGCAGTCATTATCTTTTATAAAGATCTCTCTTTTTACATCTCTATTTACATCTCTATTTTTATTAACCCTTCAATGGTATCTCATCAATTTGAAGATAAAACCCAACATCTTTGGTCCTACTTGATGTGGCCAGTGCCCACCACCCTCTAATGTCATCTCCCATTTCTCCCTAGCTTTCTGTCCTCTGGCCACACTCTCTTGCTTTCAGTTCCTCCAATTTCAGTTCAGCCAAATTCCTCTTGGCTCAGGATCTTTGCTTATGTTGTTCCTGTAACCAGAATCATCTTCCTCTTGCTCTCATTTATTCATCATTCACCATGAGCTTTTCTGACTCATTAGCCTTCATCAACTCCCCAGCTACAAGTTCTTGGTATACCCTGAACTCTTCATCTGTAGGGTTAACCAGTTTATGATTGCTTACTTATCTAATTATATTGATTATAGTTATAGGGTCCGTTTTAACATTGAATCCTAGTGCATGATAAAGAATTTGGCTAGTGTTAGTACAGTAAATATACCTGTATTGAATAGGTTACTAGGAAAGTAAGATGAATTCATAGAACAGATAAAGCTAACCCTTTAACAACGTGGGCTTGAACTGTACTGGTCCACTTACATGTAGATTTCTTTCAATAAACACAGTACTCTAGTACTGTATATAGTACAGTACTACAGTGCTATAAATATATTTTCTTTTCTTATGATTTTCTTACTAACATTTTCTTTTCTCTAGCTTTATTGTAAGAATACAGTATATAACACATATGACATACAAAATATGTGCTAATTGACTATAATTGGTAAGGCTTCCAGTTCAATGGTAGGCTATGAGTAGTTAAATTATACACTATGCTAAGTGAAATAAGCCATACAGAGAAAGACAGATACCATATGGTTTCACTCTTATGTGGATCCTGAGAAACTTAACAGAAACCCATGGGGGAGGGGAAGGAAAAAAAAAAAAAGAGGTTAGAGTGGAAGAGAGCCAAAGCATAAGAGACTCTTAAAAACTGAGAAAAAACTGAGGGTTGATGGGGGGTGGGAGGGAGGGGAGGGTGGGTGATGGGTATTGAGGAGGGCACCTTTTGGGATGAGCACTGGGTGTTGTATGGAAACCAATTTGACAATAAACTTCATATATTGAAAAAAAATTATACATAAATTTTCTATTGCACAGGGGCAGTGCCCCAACCCCCACATTGCTCAAGGGTCAACAATATTTCTTCTGCTTCGAGAAGACTCAAATTAAAAAGAGGTAAGCCAGGGGTGTCTTGGTGGCTCAGTCGGCTAAGTGTCCGACTTCAGCTCAGGTCATGATCGCTCATGATCTCGTGGGTTTAAGCCCTGCATCAGGCCCTGTGCTGACAGCTCACAGCCTATAGCCTGCTTCGGATTCTGTGTCTCCCTTTCTCTCTACCCTTTGCCCGCTCCCTCTTTCTCTCTCTCAAAAAAATAAATAAGCATTAAAAATTAAAAGAAAAAAAAGAGGTAAGCCAATATATCTCTAATGTTAAATAAAGACAAAAAGAAAAACATACCATAAATGTGCATAAAATGGGATACACCGATGATTGGGACACGAAGAGGGGAAATACAATTAGAGAAAGACAAGGAAGGGATACATGTAATCAGAACTCCTACTGAGTCTCTGATCTACTTAAAATATTAAAGAGATAAAATCCTAATCTTAAATTGTACTAAAGTGGAATAGACTTGGCTCTGAAATTTTAAAATATATCTGCTCATCAAGGTAGCTTTGAGCCCTAAGAACTTTTATTCTGATGTTTTGTCCCATCATCAGCCTGCAACTCCATCACCTACACACTAACGTGCATGTTAAAAGATGCACATATGGCAGTCTCTGGGGGCTGTCACCCACGGGCAAGAGCACCATCTAAAAAGTATCACTTTCGCAGTCTCATTCTCTTTGTTCACACACCAAGGATGAGGCTCCTGGATTAGAACTGTTCTAGGTTTGGGGCTGTCTTCTGGACAGGAAGAGGTTGTGTTGTCAAACACTTTGCACTCACGGGGACTAAGACGTCTGCATTTCAGAGAGTCCATTCACAGCACAGTGCAAGTAAGAAAGGAGAATGGTTTGTTGGGAAAGAAGTTCAGTTCCAGAAGCACAGCTCTGAGCCTAGAGAGGACAAACAATGCTGCTGCTAAGAATAAAAGCAAGTTCAGTGTTTCTCTCATTACGGTTCCTCTTGCTTGAGCTCCTTAAAACCTCTTCTGTTGTGTCCAGGCCTGAAAGCTTCTGGTGATCTGACTGAGCCTCTCTAATGGGGTGCTTGCAGTTCATCTTACTTCTCATTAAAAAAAATAAGCTCATCAGCACTATAGCCTCAGGGGTCCACAAGGAACATGTTGATAGAAAAGAGGCCTTCGTTGTTTATTAGCATTACACAAAGCCTCAGAAATTTACGCTGGCCTCAGCAAGCTGTGGTTCCAAATGTGAACACTTGTCACAAGGCATAAGTCATTGCTAGTGACGGGCCCACAGGGCCCTAAGAAGGCTGCCCTTTCACTCACCCCAGGTTATTTGAATCAGGGAACCTTTAAGGCGACACCCTTCCCAGAAGTCACAGGCACTCATCTGGGTTGAGGCTGCAGGAAAGACAGTCCCTTAAAACTAAAAAATTGTGAAGCACCTACTTACTGTAAGTCCAGGAGGAGAGATGACGTGAATACGCCATCGCACAGGCGAGCGTACGCCGTTGCGCATGCGGGGGTGTAGTGGGGTACACTGTCGCACATGCGGGGAAGGGGGAGAGGGTATGCCTACACAGTTGTGCGTGCAGGGGGTGGACGTACGCCATTGTGTGCGTGGTGAGAGGATACACTGCCACACGTGCGGGGGGGAGAGTATGCCTACGCCAGGGTGTGGGGGGAGTAAGCTATCGAACATGCGAAGGGAGAGTGGGAGGGCACGCCTGCGCTGTTGTGCGTGCAGGGGCGTGGGGGAGTACGCCGTCGCACTGCGGGCGAGGGTACGCCTGCGCTGTTGTGCGTGCAGGGGCGTGGCGGTGCGCCATCGTGTGTGTTTGGTAGGTGGGGTAAGCCGTGGAGCGTGCCGGGGGGCGGCGTACGCTGTCTGGAGTGCGCGGATAGTCCAGCAGCAACTGTAGTTTATGAGGTGAGTTTCTTGCTTGGTAGGTTAATCTCTGCGTGTCGCAATGACTTCGTGGCTTACTCCAGCTCATACAAGTAAGGGGTGGAGTCAAAATTTTTTTACGTCCAAAACCAGGACTTTCTAATCTCCGAGCCTCCCTTTTCCCTACCAAAGTGTATATAGCCTGTTAACATAAATGCAATTTTAACAAACGCCCCTTTGAGAGTCTCATCCTAAACTAGGCAGGC